TTTGTTCATGTATCACAAGTTATGAATGATTGCTCAATGACAAGCACAAATGTTTTTGATCAGTTTTGATCTGGTTGCACTAAGCAATGACTTTGACTCTTAGGCCCAAAAAAAAATGTGTGGGTCAGAAAAAAGGTTTTTAAAAATACATTTTTTTTTCAATATTCAATTACATTTGACCTTGCCAATTTATATTTCTATGCGAAATTTCAGCCCATGGTCCTGCAAATTTACTTGCAAATCTAATTTTAATAGAATTTGTTCATCAAAGACTACTACTACATGTACATGTAGTAAACTGATCATCAAGAACACTTATTAATACTGTTGTACCATTCATAGTTATACCTTTGAAGTGCCGCCACCTTGTGGGTTCTGTAATGTGGTTTTGTCACCACTCATCTTTACAATCCGAGAAGCACCTGCATTTGACTCTGCCTCTGTCACTGGTCGACATCTTGCCACCACTTTCACCCCTACTTTTTCAGTCTAATAATAATAATATTTATTAACTCATAATATTTCCCAGAGAAGAGAATAATGGTCATAAATGTGCATAACAAAACAAATAAAGAAAAAGAAAAAAAACAAGAAAAAACAATTAACGCTACAATATCATTCAAGACACACTTACAGTTCATTATTACGACTGGGTCTTAATAAACTGAGCTGAGGAAAGTGACATATATATTTGTGATTGTTGCTCATAATGGAAATAAATTTATCACTCTCAATACTGGTTCTAAAACTTATTAAAGGGACCAATTTGCTATCTATTGTCATTATGGAAATCATTTTCCCACTGTTTTTCAAATAATTTATTTAATTTCTTGAAATCATCTCACTTGAAGATACAACTTGGTTATAATCAATACTACTGTACTCAGCAGTTTCTCAATTGATTGAAATCATTTACGTACTCTTGTTTTTATCACCAATTTAAGCAACCTTCAATAATGTATTTGATGAATTACTGAATCTATTCAATTATTGTTTTTTAATAAATATGTCAACTGGGTATCTCCCTCAGTACACCATAGATTGTAATTTTAGAGATGCCAAATACAAATCTGTAGAATGAAAAATAGACATCTGCCAATTTTATAGTACTTTAATCACCCCAAAGGTCACTGCCATATGTAATAACTGATCCTTTAAGGTTATCAAAAAGTGACATAAGTGTTACTACATGTTATGTATGTTTATGTTATTGTTGTGATTAGGTTGTTAATACCTTCTTCAAATCCACTCTAATAATTAAGCCAAAATAATTGTCTAGGAAGTGAAACATGACATAATACATTAAATGAATTCAGATTTAATGTCAGGGTAATAGTTCCTTAGGGTCCCCTCACCCATAACTATAATCCTAACCTTACCCCTCCTCCATTTCAATTGTAGGATAAGATAGGACAGGATTGTATGGATCACATCATATTGAATTACATTGGGGGGTGGAGTGTTTAGGTCAGAGGTGAGAGGGCCTGAAGAAACCATATTCAATAGAAATGTCATAATCTAAAGAAAAACTACAGAGTATCTTTTCTTGTCTGTTCAGTTGTTCCGCGTTGTGGTTTTCCGTAAGTTGATAAGGATATGTTGACATTTGATTTTACCACAGTCCCGCACAACTTGGTCAATTTTAGGCAAATCACAGATACGATCGCTACTGGATAGATCCAGGTAGGAACATAACAGTACTTGCCATTTTGGAATGCTCCTTGAGTCACTTTTCAACGTCGATTCCAAACTTTCTTTAGGAAAGAACGTCTGAAAACGAAAGGTAACAGGTATAGGTAGTCTATTCACAACAAGTATTTATTAGAATCTTGGCAACTTGACGTCATAGGGTCACGATAAGGTTCACCCTCTTTCGCAAGATGTATAATAATATTTTTCATTTGTGAAATAATACCCAAGTAACATGAGACACACTTTCACTTTATAAAATATAAAGAAATAAATCTAGTATCTCTATGATCATGTATTTTATTTATTTTTTACAATAAATAAATTATACGCAATATAATTTATGTTGAACGAGATACATAAAGCAGTGCTTGCTGGGAAAAATACAACATGGCGTCCTCCATGCTTTGAAACATTGTTTTGCTTTTTTGAAATTCCGTGAACGCAATTTGCTGGTATATTGTGTTAATTGAAGTTATAACCAGTCACGTGAAGTATCTCATCTATATATTGAGTACAGTACATTCCTACCATGGAGGTAAGTGTAGTAGCGTGGTTATCGTTTCTTAGTGTACAAGTAAACAAAACAACGTAAAACTGTTTATGAATGACGTCCGATTTACGTTTACTGTAAATATTATATCTCCATAGGAAGTACAGAAACACTCTGTGCATACACTCGTGTTCCGATCGCTGAAGAGATCGCATGATATGTTTGTATCTGACAACGTTGATCCGCCACCAGCATACGAAGAAGCGTAAGTACAACATCGATCCTTATTGGCCAGTGGTGTGGGGTGGTGGTCCGGGTAGGCATTTTGGTTATGAGAAAGTTCATCTGAATTGCAATCCCCATGATGTGGGTGCAAAATTGCAATACTCTGATCGTTCCCTCGGTAAGCACGAAAATGTATAGTGAACTCCCCACGTCGTTTTGATTTCACTAACTCTGAAAAATATACATTTGGCGCTGGGGTTGAGAGGTGGGTTTGTGGTGTTAGAAACTAGAGTGTATGCATTGCTGAGGTAAATGCATAAATGTGCACTGTTTTTGTTTTTGCAAAGCCAAAGCTGCAACTGTATTGAACTTCATACCAAACATGCCCAACCCACAGTCAGCTGGTGCACAGTGTACATGTAGTGATTGTACAAGTTATAATAAAATAAATGCAATTAATTATACAAATGTAGATACAGGTATCAGGACGATCCGACCCTGGTCGGTTGCGGCCCTGGTAAAAAAAAGACGATCCGGCCCTGGTTTGGACGTTCCGGCCCCAAAACAGTTTGGTCGATCCGTCCCTGGTATAAATTATATTTGATACGTGTTCATATCTAATGTTAATATATTAAATACACAACGAATGATTGACTATCTTGTTTAACAACTTATTTTTCGTCTTTTGCAGGGAATTTTCACGGTTTAACACCATATTTGTTTTTCATTTACTCGCCGCCGCCTTTGTACTAAACACTGTATGGCCGGATGTGATTTACACTGTGCACATGGACATGTGTGGCCCGCAGACAGATAACTTGAATACACATCTAATACAATCCGTTTTAGTCAGGGTTCGAATACACATTTGTGGTTTGTCACGTCATGAATTAAGAATATTAATCAACAGAGGAAAGTTTATGTAGC